AAAAAAAAAAGAGGGAGCGGCTATTAAGTAGTCACCCATAATCTCGCCCCTGATTGCAGATGTCAATGGCGTTACCCCCCCGCCCCGCCAATAAAAATCTGCATTTTTTAGAAAAAAAATGAGTACCTATCGTTTTCTTCATTTAATTTCGTGTTAAATTAATTGTGATTTTTTCATCTTATAAGATGACAATAGAACATTTGTTATTGTGGTATTAATTGCCAAGCAAAAGATGTATTTATCGCCTCAATTGAGGTGGCAAAATGCATCTATCATATCGCTGACTTGTTAGGGTTTAATTTGTAAGCATGACACTTATTTTGTAATATAAAATAATCTCATTTTCTCAAATCTTTCATTGTTTGAAAAGAGAAATTGCCCGCATTTGATCTTTCGGATCAAGTGGTTTTCAGGTTACTTTGAAGGTGCAATCCCCCTCCCCTTGGTAGGTTCGAAATTCAAATTTTACCTTTATCACTTTGTTAAGAAAAAAAAAAAGAGAAATTGCCCAGCAAAAGAAAAGATAACTATACCTATCAACTGTGAAAATCAGTTGCTGTTTAAGAGTTTGTGATTTCCATGACACATTGATATGGACTAAAGATATTAAAATCTGGAAGAGTACTCTAAGATATTAATCAGATGACACTTGAATTGAAACCCAGGGGAGAAGAGTACTAAAATTCATATAAATCAAGATGACACCCTACATGAATCCAACCGCATGCCTTTCCTAGAACTTGGGATGTTTCAGTGGGTCATTTTCAAAGAGAAAAATCATGACATAAAAGAGAGAAGATATTTTTGTTCAATTGGTGATTCGGAAGGATGCCAAATGGGGGTGGGGTGCGAATCGAACACTTTGAGCTCAAGATGTCCACCGTTTCACATCACGATTTCATAACAAAGGTGTTTGATTTTTTATTTCTACGTTGCAGATTGGAAGCATCTCTCTTTTATTGTTGCCGATTAAATATTTTTTTAGGGAAAAAAAAAAAACGGAACTCTCTTTTGTTTAACTAAATTATAAGAGTAATGATGCAGCGGACGAAAACGCGAGGCGAAAATGAAGGACGACAAATAATGTAAGGAGTTAAATTAGTAATTGCACTACATACATAAATTTTGCATCACTTGTCGTCTTCCATTTTCGTCTTGCGTTTTCATCCGTTGAATCATTACTCAAATTATAATGTCCTGACTTTAACCCCTTTCGCATTTGGTTGTTGCGTAATCTTCCAATCCGCAGAAATAATGAAATTATGAAAGTACAGAGAGTATATGTCTGAACTACAAATTATAACGTATGCCCGGACATCTAAATTAAAATAGCACCTGTACGGTGTGGTTTTAACTGCCACACCTGATTTTTCATTTGATTGATGGAGTTAAAATTTTAAGACAAAGGACGGATTCAGGATTTATTTTTAGGGGGACAAATTTATAATTAGAATGCAATAATCAATTAAGTATAAGAAACTTTAAAAGGCATTTAATTGTTAATTTTTAAGCACATTAAGTAAATTAGTTTAAAACGTTACTATATAATTTATGCTATAAATAATACTTCTTTGTTTTTATGTAACACTTATATGACAAGCCATATATATTGTAATTCGTTTATCATTAATATATACTTAGTTACATTTTTTAAAAAAAGGTATGGGAGATTTAGAATATGATTCAATCAACACATATAGTAAAACAGGGTTTCATTTAGGAAGACAATCTTCTTTAAATTCATAAGTTGTAGTTCTTGTGCTCCTGCTCCTCCTCCAATTACTAATAAAATCTTTCTTTTCCTGATAAACAACCTTATAAGAAACCAATAATGGCATTGAAGGCTTTACAGTTTCGTGACTGTTTCCTAATTTCTATGTATTAGTCTAAATCAATCATTATTATTATTATTATTATTATTATTGGGGTACTCTAGGGCCAAATATTAAGCTCAAAGACTAGTAGGCCCTTCATATTTCCTTTTCAATTCCCTCACCCTTTTCCTCAATGCCCGCCCCTCTTCCTCACACTCTCCCCTATCACCTCCCTCCCCACAACACCATCCTCTCTAGCTGACTGTTTCAGTCCAATAGCCACCCCCACCTCCTCCATCAACATGGTGGCATTCATCCTCTGCTCGGCGCAAAGCGGCCAGGCAATCATTGGCACACCATTTGTTAAGCTCTCCAAACTCGAATTCCATCCACAGTGTGACAAAAACCCACCCACGGAAGTATGGCTCAAGATGTCCGCTTGGGGAGCCCACATTGGGACCACCAATCCAACATCACGGGTTCGGGATAAAAACTCATCAGGTAAGAAGTCCGGGTCAGTACCCGAACCTTGCTCGAGCGTGAAATAGGACCCGTGTGCATCGTTGTCCGCAGGAGGACGAACCACCCATATAAACCTTTGCTGGCTCAGCACCAAACCCCAAGCCAACTCAGTGATCTGTTGGGCCGAAAGAGTTCCTCCACTCCCAAACGACACGTATATCACTGAGTCTGTGGGCTGTTTGTCTAGCCAGTCCATTAGTTTCTGGTCCAAAACTTGAGGCCCTGATCGTCTAGCCAACTTGCGGATTGGATAAACAGAAGCCTTGGAAACCTGGCCCAAGATAGCCGCATCCTTGAGTGCTTGAAATGTTGAGTGTTCAAGATCCTCCCAGGAGTTCACCAGGATCCCATCAGCCTTTGAACACACAATCCCAAGTCTTATGAATCCTTTGAAACTGGGATCACTCTGGTCAAGAAAGAGACTAAGTGTGTCGTCCAATCTAAGCAACTTGCAACAGGGAATTTTCAGAGGTTTCTGGGCCTTAACATTTCCGTTCACCAGCTCTTCAACCGCAGTGGGGGCATATAATTTTAGAGCAAGAAACCATGCGTTGTTGGTGTCGAAAACGTACCTAACATTTTTGAACTCATCAGCTATAGAAAGAGCATCAGTCCCAAACAAGTGTACGACCATCAAAGGGAGAATGCTTCATGGAAGAGATTGCGGTGCGGAGGAATGGTAGGGACTGGCGCACAATCACAACTAGTTTGGTTGGTATTGCTGCGTCGGTATCCACCGGTGGGAGTGAGACAATGCCAAGATTATCAGGAGTTGGTGAGTTGACAAGTGTGGTTGAGGCATGATCGCCGGTATTGGCAACAACAAAGACTGTGGCATGAAATCCATGAAGGGTGACCATGCGTTTATCAAGCTCAAGGACAGGGATGAGATGTCCCATGCCAGGGTTCGTGAGTAGAGCAGCGTGAGGTTTCATGTTTTGCATGGCAAAGGATGGGGTATGAAGAAGGAGAATTACTGAAGGTTGATTATAATGACATAGAGGTTGACAACAAAGACTTGGCAGATGAAAACTTGACTAATTTTCGATACCCTTCCCAAGGGTATGCTACAATAGATTGACAAAATTAGTGCTTGAAGTTAAAAAGAAGAAGAAAAAGAAGAAGAAGAAGAAGAAAAGCTTTCATTATTTTTTATATAAATGGTTCCATATATTGAGATACTATAAAGTTTGCAGCAGTACTTGAGACGAAAAGATAAACAAATAATCAAAGAAAGTGTGGATTCTAGAAGAAGTTGAGCAACCCCTGAAAACTGAGGAATTAGGACGGGTAATTGTTAATCAGAAAGTAGCCTACAACGTAGATGCAATGCTGAAATCGGAAAAATCGGTTCATAATTCAATGGAAGTAACTGAATTGGTTGAAAGACTAAAACATCAAAGCATGAAATAGATTACTAGACTCTTGAGCGCATCTTAATCCTAGAAAAAGTTAAAACTCCCAGCACGCCCCTCAAAGATGTTTAGTTCTAACTTTTACTAGGACTTCTTTGACCTAACCAACCCCACAATATCGGAAAAACCCAGCACACCATTTGCATAAGAAGGCAACCCTTTCTGGAAGCAGAAACTACCCTTAATTTATATTGCCCATAGATTTTTACCCTCTCAGTTTTCTCTCCATAAACAAGAATTGGACTTTAATGCCAGTATAGTCATTATGATGAAATGAAGATCACTTGCCAGCAAGATTTCAAAGAATTAGGTATGCAACAAACTGCCTTGGAATGATTTTTTCATGTGCTTTCCTCAAAGGATACATAAATCGAATCCTTGACTACAAACTAAAAATGATCACAATCTATATATTTGAAGTCTGGGAGAACACCTCAATGTTAAATTGAAATAGAATCCAATCGTATGATACATGAAGCGATTATAATAACAAAAGTATAAACATATGCATTAATTGAAAAGGGGGAATAATTTATACCAATCCCGGAAATAACCCAGCTTCAGTCTCTCTCCATTACTGCAGATTTGCCATCAACGATGTTGTCTCATAAAGTTGCCATATGCTCATGCTTTGGCAATCAATCTAACCCCATATGCTAAGATCTTGCAATGCCTCCTTGAGGATGAACGATGTATGTGTGAAAGAAAGTTATGTTGAACCAATTATTGAATCTTGATCTCCAGGTAACAGATCAAATGGAGAACCAAGGTACGCCACTCAGCTTGATCAGCAGACCAAGCACCCATTAAGGATGCATAATTCACAATATGAATACTACATATCCAATGGCCTTTCCTCAATTTTCGAGGGCAAGGTTTCTTACTAGATGGGTTATGCACGGGTCTTGCCACCTCCAAGGGTAAGTTCTAGGTCATCCATTTCATGTATTCTCTCACCCTCCCAAGGTTTAACTCTGCAGTTCTCAAACTCAAACTCTGATCCTCTCCCTTTCCTTGCTGCTGTTCCCTGGACAACTGGCAAATGCCCATCAAAACCATTTTGGAGAGAACTCTGTTGAACCACAACTGATTTGACAAGATTGAAGGTAGGTGAAGGAGGACCAGCAGGTGCTGGTAACATTGTTTGAGAACTGATCCAGCGGCCAGAATCCACAGTAGAGGCATCAGATCCATCACATTCTGGTATTGTGGCTGGTGCAAGTTGGTGCCTACGTGTAGGGCTAGAAGGGGCAGAGGCAGCAAGAAGGGGGTGGACAAATGACTTGAGGGAGCCATTTGAAAGCGATTCCCAGTTAGCTTTTCTTTTAGGCCCTTTGGATGTTGGGGAAGAAAGTGGTGGGGTTACAGGAGCACTATTTGATATTCTAAGACAAGGAAGATTACTAGGGATAGATGTGATGTTGCGAAGGACTGGGAGAATATACGTAGAGGGGTTTCCATCAAACCGAGTTGGGCTTGGGAATGAGGATGATGCAGGGCTGCCATGGTAGGAAGGTATAGGACTAGGAAAAGCTGAGGACTGTGGGCTAGGTTGAACAGAGGAACATACACTAATGTTTGCCGAGGCAACTCCAAGTTCACTTGGAGGTGGCTTGCATCCCTGAATTCCAAATAGAGCAAAATAAATAAATAAATTTAGTTGATTAAATTCATGAATCAGCAGATGCTGGTTGCAAATCCATCATTTTTTTCATAGATTATCCACTTAACGAACATCATCAGTAACTAAATCTAAGATATAGTCGAAAAAGTGCTTTTATCAGTACTGCTACACGAGAATTAATACATTATAAGCAGAGTTCAAAAGCTCTAAATGATGAGTCTTCTTACTTGGTCCACAATAGCTGAGAAAACATCTCCGGTGTACAAAAAAAGGCATCATCAGCAAATTCACAAAAATTGAGGAAAGAATTTGCCAATTTTAAGGACAAATAAACAGAAAAGAAAATTCCCAACCCTCATGAAATAAGAATTTCTCAAAGAACCCAAATATTCTCATTATCAAATCATCTCTTCTTTTATCTGGTAAAAGCCAAAAGAAAACCACAACCCAACGAATTCAATGAGACCCAATTGGCAAATGAAGACAACACAATAGATCCAGAATAACCCTAAAAATCAAAACCTAGCAACAGGCAGTTTCATTAATATAGATCTAGCAGTGCAAATCAAGAAAGGAATTATAACAATACAAAACACAGACAGGCAAAATGAAGGTGAAATCAATGAACAAGAGAATAAAGGCGTTGAGGATGCAGACCTTGCGATAAGTGGTGCCATCTGCTTCAACCACCCAACCAGCCTCGGCACAGAGAGCTTTCAAGACCTCATTATTGTCGCAATGTTTGGGGAGCTTATAGTTACCTTGAGATCTAAGCCCTGTGTAAATCTTGGCAGCGATGGCCCTTCTCCTCCTCTCTCGTCTCTTGTTGTTCTCCCTCTCTTTCCACGTCGGTAATCTCCCAGAAGATCCGGCCATTTTTTGACCGGGAAACGAAAATCCCTTCCGCACTTCACCGTCCTAAATCTGGGTTTTGGCGAAAGAGAGAAATTTTGCGTTAAGGAGACGAGTCTCAAGGTGGGGGGTAGGATAGAAGTAGAAGAATGCAACTTTCACCAAGACGTTGCTTCTTTGATGTTGCTAAGCTGTAGATGGAAAAAATGCTTTTGCCCCGTTGCTTCCTCAGAGTCAGATTCACACTTAATCAAATCTCAAGAAAATTGGATGAGTAGTAGTTTAACTGTCCGACACACGCGGCTTGCGCTCCGTCCCACGTACGGGTTTAAGAGATGACTAATCATGTTAAAAGCCGTCTTTCACTATTTTGTTTAAATCACACAAAAAAATTTTTATTTAATTTTATTCTTAAAAATAATTAATAATTTAAAATTAATTTATAAATTAATATTTTTTGATATTATAGTAAATTATTTAAGAAAAATATTATAAAGAAATAAAATATTAATAAAATTAAATAATTGTTAAGCCTTGATTAAATTTTAATTCACCATAACCGCACATCTCATATTAAGGGTCTTTTTAATGTGAAGAGCATGATTAGTATATTTTTTAACATTGATTATTATTTAAAAAATAAAAATTAATTTTATTTAATTAAATAATTTATGTAATATTATGATAAAATTAATAATAATTTTTATCGTATATTATTTTATATAAATTAAGATATTAGTATTTGTTAGCTAAATTTTTAAAAAATTAAGAAGATAAATACCTTAAAATTATATTGTTTCATTAAAATATCATACAAATTAAAACAAACTCAATTTTAATTTTAAAATAAGTTATTTAAGTTTTTTAATCAATTTCTTTTTAATTTCTTATAAACCCACCTAAGAGAATTTTTTTCATAAATTAATATCAACTCATTTTTAAATAATTATTATTTTTTATTTTTAAAATTTAAATTATTTCAAATTAATTGAAGGGACAGTTGGCTTCGGCGGAGCGACGAATTTCGAATTTATAATTATAACTCAAGGCATGCCGTTAAACGTGGAGAAAAATGAGAAATGAATGCGGTTTAAGTAATAAAAATCTGACGCGAGGCATTAATTAATTAATTAATTATAAGGTCATTGGATTTTGGCGGGGGCACGTGCGGATCCAGCGAAGCGCGATGGAGACAGGAGGTCTAGTTGGCGTCGGCGTGGCCAAAGCAAAATAAAATAAAATAAACAAATAAATAAATATAAAATGTGCACGTGTGGTGAAAGGCGTGTCTTTTTGCGTTTTCGTCGGGACCGGTGGGGCCCTTGATTTCTTGTTCCAAGATGGGATGCTTTTACTGGTCTTCAATGTAAGGACATACCACGTGCGGATTCCATTTTTTAAAAAAAAATTCTTTTTTGGCCATCCATTTTTAAGTACTTTATTATTTCACAAAAATTGTTAACTAAGTAATTCTGAAATTTTATTAAACAAAACAATTAAAATTTATTAATTTTTTACTCAAAAAATTTATATATAATTAATAAAAAATAATATAAAAGTTTTCTAAACTTATATTGGGATAAACTCATCCTTACTCGAAGTAGAATTATATAATTTTGTAAATTAATGTGGGCTTTTATTTTTTATATGAATTCTAATTCTTTTTTTTTTTACAGAAGTTCTATTTAAATAATATTTTTATGTACATTTATCCAAAAAAATATATTTTTCCATACAAGAATTAAAATTAGAGTCAGGCACTCATTCACCATTTTTATTTGTTTAGATAAAAATATAGATTTTTTTAAGTTGTATAATAAAAAATAATTTTTCTTTATCTTTGAACTTATTTCACCTGTATGTTATGTAATTTAAATTTAAAATTTTTTATTTTATTAAAAAAATTATTATTAAATTATTAAGGTTTTAGGGAATATAAACATTTTTTTGATGATAAAAATATAGACTTGTCTCTGATGTTTGTGTGGGTGGGCCTTGGGAATTGACCTGAATTGGGAGAAAAAGGAACGGCCGAACGGGTTCATTTATTGGGCCGTGCTCATGCCATGACTCCAAGTGTTGTTAGGCTTTGTCTCTCACACTCCTGTCATCTGGGCCTGAACTAAATGGTCGAAAAAGTTCAATACAGAAATGGAATAATCGGCCCAGGGTTTCCCTGTACGGTTAGGAACCATAGTTCACGGACTGACCATCACAATGGTCTGATTGGTTTCTTGCAGTCCCAAGGTAAAGTCCACGTTTACTAACTCAGGTTCAATGTTTTTCTTTTTCTTTTTAAATCCTTATCCTATCCAAGGAAAGAATTATTAAAATGAATTTTTAAGCTTTTTGTTAATCCTTTTGAGTTATTAATGAAGTCTGATATATACTTCCTATATGTCAAAATAATAGTTTTTTTTTTCCTTTTTTTGCATACTCAGAACTTGTAAATAATTTATATTATTATCTATGTGATTTTTAATTAAAAAAAACAAAGATGGAAAATAATTTAATATTAAAAGGGTTGATAATTAATGTTAAAAAAAGAACAATGTTAAATACAAATATTTATCAATTCCCAAAATAAAAAATAATTTATAATAAATTTTGAATAAAAAAAATATACGAGTGACAAGTAACTTTTCTTAGAGTCAAAGAGAGAAATTTTATTATCTTATAAAATTCTTGATATATTAATAATTAAGGGTTTGCTGACCTAGGATAAGAAGTCATTATTAGATAATAATGTTGATTTTTCTCTTAAATTTTGTAAAATTTTAAATTAAAAAGATAGATTCTGATTTTTAATTTAAAACAAACTAATACAAATTTAATATATGACATTTATAATTAAAACAAAGGATCTGTTTAATTTGTATTTTAAAAATACAAATTAAGAGTGTAATAAATGCACATATTTTATAATTAGTTTATGTAAAAAATAACAAAAGTTAACTTTTATTTTATTATTATTGCTACATTGATAATTTTAATTAGTTAATTAATTTAATTTAAGCTCATTTTTATTATTTTGTATAAATTAATTATTAAAAATATATTTATTACCTTCTTAATCTATACCCTTAAAGTAAAAAAATTTTTTTAAAAAAAACCATAAGATAACTTCATTTTTTCAACACAAAAAATAGTAATTAATCCTTAGTAATTACTTCCTATGCTGTGCTTAAAGGCATAGGATAAATAAACTGAACAATTAATAGCAATAATAACACTTTAAATAGCAGTACCGATTTTTCATTTGAAAAATTCGCATTCTAACGCAGAATGTAGCTTGCATTTCTTTATTTATTGGGACCTCATTTTGAGGTATTGCAGCTCTGTGATCTTAAAACGAGGGAGTTGGAATTCAATTTCTCATAAATGACCCGTGTGAATTAAATATAAATTAAAAATGTATTAAATATATTTTTTATTATAAATATATAATATAAAAATTAATTTTAATTTTAATATCATACGAATTTAATTAGATATTTAATAAATTGAAGATTAAATTTTTTTAATATAAATATATGATAAAAATATATTCTTAATTTATACACTTAAAGACAAATTAATCAAACCCTTCTGCATATACTGTAATAAATTAAGAATAATGTAAAGAAAGTTTCATTTTGTGTGTTGCGTCCGGCGATATTTTTATCATATTTTTAATTAATAATATTATATTTTTTATTTTAATTAATTATTATATATTTTAATTTATAAAAAATATATAATATAAATAATTATATCAAAAAATATTACATTAATTAAGGTATATCAATAACCTATTCTCCCTGAACTGCCTGTGACAACCCAGAGGTATGAATCTGGTTTGGATCGTTCTCCTCTTACGAATGTTGAAATTCATTTCCTTTTTATAATTAGTACGTTTATAATTTCAATATGTTAAAAAAAAAAAAAGAAAAGAAAAGTAACCTACTCTCCCGGCAAACGTCGACTTCGATTTATTAGCAATAATTAAAGAGGGGGTGGTGGCGCAGTCGGCTAGCGCGTAGGTCTCATAGCTTCAGAGTTAATTTTTACCAAGAATTTAGAGGCCGAGAGATGTGGTAATAACTATTAATGAAATTGTTAAAATTATTAAGATGGTATTAGAATAAAAGATTTTTTATCTCATATTTTAAAAATATGCGTTAAGAATATATTTATTATATTTATTATTAATTTATATAAAAATTATATAAAAAATTATTACAAACAAATTATTCTTACAACATAAACTTTTTTTTTATTAGGTTTTTTGGTACATTAGGCAATTGCCTAATTTCTTATTTATTACTGTACCTAATGTTCTTTTGTTTTTATCCTTTTCCTTTGAAGTACAGCATAATATAAGAAAACAGTGGATATCTATCTCAATTTTAAATAAAAAATTAAAATTAAAATTTTAAAAATATTATTATTTAATGAATTTTTCAAAAATTAATGTTAAATTTAATGTTTTATTGATATAAATTATATATATAATAATTTATAATTTATGAAAACAGTTAATCTAATATATATGAATATTTATTAAAAAACTCATATTTTTAATATATATTTAATAGTATTAAATTTTATATAATTAATGAATCATTTTTAAATATATTTTATTAATTTAAAAATTAATATGTATAATTTATATAAATAAAATTTTAAAATAATTAAACTTTTCAAATTATTAATTAAAAAAATATTATTTTTGAAAATATTAAAGGGTAAGATAAATATTAACAATCGGATTTGAAATCAAAATTAAAATGTTACGTCACAAAACCTTTACCACTGAATCACGTGATTCACGTTCTTTATGTCTTACTTGGTGAACAGTAAAAAATACTATCCCAACTACCACACATGTGAAACATTGCAATATGTTTATTCAGTGATTATAAATTAATCTTTTTTAGCAGTGTCTCTTTTTAATAATGTTCCAATAATCAGTGATTGTGATTCATATTTATAATGAATTAAAAGAATAAATAGTACTATTTAATTTTAATTGTTTTACTTTTTTTAATGTTTTAAATATTAATTTTAAATGAAACTTTTTGAGTAATTTCATTTAATTGAAAAAAAATTTTAATTATCAATTATATATTATCCTAAATTTTGTTAAAAATTAAAATTTTATTATTTAATTTTTAAATATTAAAAACTTATATCTTTAAATAAATAAATAAATAATAAACAAACGAACAAACAAACTTTATATCCTCCTTCCCACGTTTTTCTCATTTAATTTGCAATTTTAGTCCACACAAGTACATGACATGAGAGACCCTCCGTTTCCCTCGAAATGTCAAAGGGAACGGAACCGGCCAAGACTTGCGCAACACTGGAGCAGAATTTTCATTTCCCCCGTGAATTTCATTCATCTCCTCAAATATAAGTAGCAGCACCAATTAGCAAAGCAGATTTGGCTCAAAAAAACCAAAAGAACAAAGGAAAAAGCGAGTGCTCTGTAAAACAAGCCGGAAAAAGCCAGAAACCCATCTGAAAATGAGTACTTTGAATGTGGTTCCGTGGGTTCAGACCTACCCTGTCTTTAAGCAAGCAACAAAATCTGGATCCATTCCCATAGCCGTACCCAGATCCCCAACTTTTGGTCCTTTCAGCAGATTCAGTCTTCCAATGGTGTCGTCCCTGAAATCCTGTCCTGTTTCTTCTGTACCCTTTATCTGCTCGGTACTTACAAGGGAAGCTTTCACGGAGGGAGCAGAGCAAGACCCGCAAAACCCCGCCTTTGATTTCGAGTCCTATATACTGCAAAAGGCGAATTCTGTCAACCAAGCCCTTAAAGCCGCCGTTCCACTCCGGGAACCTTTGAAGATCCACGAAGCAATGCGTTACTCTCTCCTTGCAGGGGGGAAGCGCGTGAGACCAATACTCTGTATTGCCGCGTGTGAACTCGTCGGCGGCCGGGAATCGATGGCGGTGCCGGCAGCTTGCGCCTTGGAGATGATCCATACCATGTCGCTCATCCACGACGACATGCCGTGTATGGACAACGACGATCTTCGCCGAGGAAAACCCACCAACCACAGAGTATTTGGCGAGGATGTCGCCGTTTTGGCCGGCGACGCGCTTCTCGTTTACGCATTCGAACACATGGCAGCGTCAACTGTTGGTGTCACGCCGGCACGGATTGTGCAAGCGGTTGGGGAATTTGCGAAACTGATTGGCTCTGAAGGGTTGTCTGCGGGTCAGGTTGTGGACGTAAGCAGTGAGGGGCTTAGCGATGTGGGATTGGAGCATCTAGAGTTCATACACTTACGTAAAACCGCAGCTTTGCTTGAAGCCGCGTTGGTTCTTGGGGCGATTCTCGGAGGCGGGTCGGAACAGGAGCTGGAGAGATTAAGGAAATACGCCAGATGTAGCGGGCTTATGTTTCAGGTGGTGGATGACATTCTAGATGTGACAAAGTCATCCAAGGAATTGGGAAAAACCGCCGGCAAGGATCTGGTGGCGGAAAAGGTGACTTTCCCGAAGCTGATGGGGATAGAGAAGTCCAGGGAATTTGCTGAGAAGCTGAGGAGTGATGCTGTGGAGCAACTTGGGTGTTTTGATGCCGAGAAGGCCACACCTTTGATTGCTTTGACCAACTACATTGCATACAGGCAGAATTAGTCAGCAGGGAATATATTGTTCGTTAAATCCTTAATTTGCTCCCTAAAGTATTGTATAGATCTTTAATTTGGTCCCTGAACTAAAAAATCTCTGATTTGGTCCTTAAACTATTGTATGGACCTCAATTTAGTTTTTACTGTTTACCAATTTGCCCCAAATTAGTCTTTCCATACAAAAAAAAAGCAAACGTGTCTAATATTTAACAATGAAAAATAGTAACTTAACGACAGAAAACAGTAACTTAACGATCACGTGTCACATTAATAACGAGACACGTCAACTATTTTTGTATAGAATGACCAACTTGGGGTAAATTAATAAACAGTAGGGACCAAATTGGAGATCCATACAATAGTTTAGGGATCAAATTAGAGATTTTTTTAGTTTAAGGACCAAATTAAAGGTCTATACAGTAGTTCAGGGACCAAATTAGGCAGTTAACCTATATTGTTCTAGGCAAAAGGTACCTGTTTGCCCTTTAACTTTTCGAATTTGAGGCGTTTTACCCCTCATATTACAATATATGAATTTTTACCCTTTTTAGTTTTGAGTTTAAGGAAATAAGGTAAAATTTAACGTCAAAAGATCACATGTAACATGTGCATCGTTATCTCCGTTATACATTTACATGTCAG